CACTTTCTGCGGGTCAGAACAAGAGGGGAGGCGGAGAGATTCACAGCTTGATGACCTCATTTGGAGGCGCGATGAAAATAAATAGCTCCCTGGAGGCCAGGTACACTCTCTCCCTACGAGATATTTCTGTTGACAAGTCACATGGAGCTACACTGAAGGAGTCAGAGCCCTGAATCTGGAGGAGCCACATGGAGACCCACACCAGCATTGAGATGCATCCACTGCCACTGGATCTGCAAGACTTTCCACCCACTGGCCTGTGATCTTCCTGTGTTCGGCATCATTGCATGTGCTGTGTGACTCTAAAGAGGAATTTAAAGACTGGTATCAACATATGGGGTAATATCGGACTTATGGACTTGATCTGGACTGGGCTGGGGTGTTTTCTTAATGTATAATTGCTCTTTGATATAAAACTCTTTTTATATACATGAGTGTCTCCCTGGATTTGTTTCTCTAGTCTGCCCGGGCTAACACAAATGCCAACCCTTTACTCACAGCCTTGATGGAATGGAAAGGAAGTGTCCTTAGGGGTGTGGTCTATTGTTGCTAGGTACCATTGAGTCAGTTCCGACGTATAGCCACCTTGCAAGAGAACAAGACACTTCCCAGTGCTGCACCATCCTCACTATTATTCCTGTGCGTGAACCCATTGTTGCAACCACTGTCAGTCTACCTCATTGAGGGCCTTCCCCCCCCCCCCCCCCCCTTTTTTTTTTTTTGCTGCCTATTTCTTATATAAGTAGGGCAACTGTGGAAAAGCTTGTTTGCTTTTTGCTGGGTCTGGAGGCTGCCCTTGGCTCATTGACTTCTGAATCTTTGGACTTGAACCAAAGGCCTGCCATATCACCTGGTGATCCCAGGAGTCATCCGCTCCCTGGCTTGCTGGCCTTGGATTAGTCCACTTCTCCGTTCACAAGACCTTAGATTCATCAGCCTCTGCAGCCACTCGCCTGTGGTGGTCCTGCAGATCTTGCTCTCATCACTCCCGGAAGCTACATGAGTCAGAAGAAGCCCCCGGCTTCACATCTGACCCCCAGACCTGGGACCTGCAGGACCGCACACTGGGTGCATTCACTTCGACAACGGTGTGAACCGTTTTGGTGATAGACATTTCTCTCTCTCGATAGATGTTTCACTGGTTTTACCTCTTTAGAGAACCCAGCGTCAGTAAGATGGGGAGACCTTTCGTCTCAGGTTCTATAAAGATATTACCAGGGTTTCAGCACTTGCTCTTTGTTACATTCCCCTTGATCATGCCCTGGTGGGACTGAGCATGATAGTGGGACAGGAGGA